AAATGATTGCACTCCCTTACTGATGCTTCAGACTTAATTTGGTTGAAATCCTATCTTGTGTTTAGGAGGAGATGCATTTTAAAGCAAATTTAGGTAAGTTCCCCTTCAGGCCCCCGACCCCACTGGACTCAGGGGTCACACCAACCTCATTTATTTAAGAAATGATTGCACTCCCTTACTGATGTTTCAGAGTAAATTTGGTTGAAGCCCCCCTGGTGTTTGGGAGGAGATGCATGTTAAAGCAAATTTAGCTAAATTCCCCACCACCCTGGCCTTAGGGGTTGAACCAACCTCATTTAGTCAGGAAATGATTGCCCTCCCCCAATGAAGTTTCAGAGCAACATTTGTTAAAACCTTCTCTGGGGTTTAGGAGATGCGTTTTAAAGCAAATTTAGGTACGTTCCCCGCCCCCCTGGCCTCGGGGGTTGAACCAACCTCATTTATTTAAGAAATGATTGCGCTCCCTTACTGATGCTTCAGACTTAATTTGGTTGAAATCCTATCTTGTGTTTAGGAGGAGATGCGTTTTAAAAGCAAATTTAGGTAAGTTCCCCTTCAGGCCCCCGACCCCACTGGACTCAGGTGTCAAACCAACCAACGCGAGCTACATCATATCCCTCTACGTCTGCTGTCGTGCTCTAACAATTTTACTTTTTTGACTTCTTCTTCAGAACCGCCGAAATGATTGACTTCAAACGTGGTACAAATGTTCTTCGTGAAGTACCCAACAAGTATTTTAACTTTTCTTGCAGATCTGAAAATAAACGAAGGTGACCGCCTTTGCGTCTGGTTGGTAATTTTTACTTCCCAAGAACGTCTGAAAGCGATTGACTTCTAACGTGAAACAAAAGTTCCTATGATGTCCAGACTAAGTGTTCTTATATTTTTTTTTGTGCTGATCCAAATTCCAAGATGGCCACCCTACCGTGTTATTGGCCGAGGCACTTTTTAATTCTTCTCAAGAATGGCTGCACTAATAGACTCGTTATTATTATAGGGGTACTATCCTGGTCTGGCCGCGCTAAAGATTGTCTTCTTTCAATTTTAATTTATGATTTTTTTCACAAAATTATCGCAAGGTATGGCTTTCTTTTCAGAAATGAGTAATCAAAGCTACAGTCATGTCGGAATTTATACTAGTTATAGTTTATAGCAGTGGTACGAGGATCCCTAAAGTAAATAGTCTGATATAATATGCTGAATTAACCCTGTCACTCCTATGCAACTTCAGTAGACTCTCCGATGCATTGATCTGGGTGAGTCCATTTTGGTGAACAGTGGTGAAAGATCTAAGAAGACCTAGGCAGTGCAATGATTTAAGAGGATGAAATGATGAAAAAACTGGTAAGTATGTATGTTATTTATTTATAACATGCAGACAGAATTCAAAGCATTCTATTAACATGAACAATGTTCCTTTAATTTGTTCAGATTCAGTTACTGTAGAATCTCATCATTACACAATTAATTGTCTTGTGAAAATTTACAAATTTCCATTGATTTCTGAAACATTCTTTGTCATTGTAGGAATAAAATTGCGGGAAATTAATCATCTCCCAAAGAGAAATTTGTACATATTTTTTGAAGTCTGAATACTTAATGTGGTGTATGTACTTTTGTAAATATTTTAATCGAATATCTGCTAAAGCAATTTCTTCACAGAAGCAACAAATATAGAGCAGTATGACTGTAAACATCTAACAACACAGAACTACACTACCGCAACATGTTCTGATAAACGGACGATGGTCGGGAAATTTCTACCCAATAACTGCTACATCTGCTATGTGTTAATAAGGGTTAATTACTGTCATAGCTCTTAATCACACTTTTGATATAAAACACTTTATACATGTTAAAATGTAGCACATGAATTACAGATAATACAATGAAACAAGGATAAGAAAAGTCCATAAATTTAAATCAAATTAAACCATAAATTAAAACAAAAATCTCAGTTTACAATTTTTAACATGTTGAAAATTATTATGGTTTGATAGGAAAAAAAGGAAAGAAAAAAATACGGAATAGATTTCAAAATTGTTTATGCCCCAATTGATTTTTCCTTTAAAAATCAAAATGTAAACTGAATTATAAGTGTTTTCCTGTCCATTTAATCACAACCCCTAACAAACACTACACATAAACATTTACTCTACAGTGTAATAGTAGATCAGACTATTAAAAGTGGCAACATATGATAACAACAACACTGGAACCGGTCTAGATTAAGGAGCTGACCTACCACCTTAGGCTGAAAATATGACACCATAATAGAAAGGTGCTAAAATGCTGTTTTGACGATTGGTCAGTTGTTCCGCGGTTGTAAAAAAATGTAAATCCCTTGAAAATTGATAAATTGTTTCTGGAGGAATTTGTTCCTAACATTAAAATTTCATTTTTTTTTAAAAAACCTCTTCAGATGGTATTATATGTCAATGAAACAAATGGTCAAAAATATATTTCAGCTTAATAACAAGAACAGAAATTAACATATTAATGTTGATCAATTCCATTACAGTTAGCAATATTGATTCTGAAAAAAATAAGCAAATACTCAAAACTTTAATCATTGAAATGTAACATGGGATTTTTTTCAATATGGTTTTGTTTTCACAATCTTCTAAAAATCACTTCCACATTATAAAAGCACATGAATGTTTATTACAAAGAATATCATATGTTTGAGGACCAATGAACAAATGTATTAGCTATCGTTCACAACACTTGAAATTAAAATGATCACTGTACCGATTCATCATCAGGAAAACTGGTCTAGAAGATGATCTTCTACGGTCACTTTAAAAATGGTCAGCATACACAGGGCTCTACTTACGCAGGTAATAGCTAACAAACACACATGTTGGGATATATGGCTACCTAAAATGATATATGTCTGTAATGGTTCTACGTTAAGTTTCATCCTCATTGTTGAGAATCACAGAATATTTACATCAGCAGTTCTTGGTCGACTCAACAATTACGGTCGGATGGTTTCTGGTAGGTGAGGCTTAAATGTTCAAATATTTCCTCTTCATTAGCTGCTGGTAGCTTTTTATTCTGCAATGGTAAATTTAGAAATGTAAGAACATGTTTGAAAAGAATTGATACTTGTGGTACTTAAATGTGTGACTCTAAAATTCAATTTAGAGGTCTTAAATAGGCTCTGAATTGTTACAGTTGCCAAGAGTCAAACCACAAGTGCTCCTTAAGCTTCCATCACACTGACGAAGACTCCAGGCTTCACAGACAAAAGTATCAGAAGTTGTTACAAACCTTATATTCCACTTTCTATTTCAGTACAATTAATTGATAACATAATATCAAAATACACCAAAAATGTACCATCTCACTTCATTACTGTATTCCAGGACATTTTCGCCTTCGACTGCAAGATCCATTTTCGCCCAATGTCAAATTTGCCCTTCACTTTTAGTGTTTTATGTGTGCATCATGTTGTGTACGAATGTTCACTATAATGATTAATTTGCCCTTTTAACAGCGGGCAAAAAGGGGAGAAAATTGAACTGCAGCAAAATGCTTTTGTTCATTTCTTAATATTTTATGATAAGTCACAATATCTTAGTGTGAAAATGGAAAAGTGCTCAGTGTGTTGTTCTGTCGAGTAATATATAAAACAGGAAATACAAGATCCCATAGCTCTTAACATGACCCCGTCCCTGTTTAAATCTTTTAAAACCAGACCCATGTAACCCATACAAAATGTTGTGTTACCCTTAACATGTGTTACCCTTAACAAGATCCCTTAAAGTTAATTTGTTACCAGACCTAGCATAGCCCAAGAAATAACCTGACACACCGAGTTTAAGCAGCACAAACCTGTTCAAAGTTCCATAGTCCATGACTGGTTAGCTTTTGGTTGAGTGACTTTTGTGAATACAATCTGATGTCACGATTAAACTGTTTACTGCCAGTCCAACCTAGCAGGGCGTAGTAATACATGCTGTAGGGGGCAATGACAAGGTCAACTCTGCGAGCAGTCCAGGTACGTGGCACACTTGCCAAGGACATAGCACTCGGCTCGCCGTCACACATCCTCTGCTTCTTGCTGTGTGGCTCGTAGTCATCAACCGTACAGTTTTCAACCCCGCGGACTGGGGCATTATTGGACATCAGAAAACGGTATTCACTGGGGTCAATCTTTTCATGACAGAACCGCTTGGGAAGCTTCATAAGTCCAATCCACTTTTCATAATGATCCATGTGTCCCTTTGTGTTGTAATCACGCGACAAAACTCTGTCGCCGTATGAACTTTTCTCCAGCTTACCACACAGAATCAGTGACCTCTGTTCCAGCTGGGTTAGTAACTTAGGTAGAAAGTTGACCTCCTTGCCTTCCTCTGGGTGACTGAACAGCAAGTCTACGTCGTGACCATTTGTTTTACCTCTGAAACAACATAGTGGTCATGTGTATGTGAACTGGAAATCAACAAAATTTTGATTGTGAACACGATTTTAAAGAAACTGATTGCAGAGTCTTGAAAATCTGCAGATTATCATGCATGACATTTATGGCCACCTGCTTTCACAAATGGAATTAGACTTAACAGCCTACTAAAATTAGCCATTTATCTTTCAGAGTTATTTTTACCTGCGGAATCCACCGGTCAGTGTCACAATAACACCAGGTAGAATCCTCTCTGCCTCTGCCCTGATCACAGCGGTCAAGTTCTCTGCCTCTATCAGTTGAACAAGGTCACTCAGATCATCATGAAAGGCCAATCCTGGACAATGGTTAAGCAAGATAATAAATACTCAAAAAATGTTTTTTTCTATTATTTAGTAATTTCTTAATGAAGTTAGGAAATATTTCAATATTATTGAGGACTTTTTATAATTCCACTACATGCATTGACCATTGTTTTACAGCAAGAATGACATCACAGCTAAATAACAACTATGAAAATGAGATTTTGACATTTCTGCAAAAATTTGCCAATACCTGAAACGACATTTGCTGAATCTTTCTTTAAAAATACTTTCTGCTGTCGCTACGGTCAAAACCGATATAACTGTCCATCAAAGGATCTCATTCATTAATTCATGATGACCAAAGCTTTACAGCAAAATCGATAGTGAAACACTGTCCATTTGTACAAAAGGCAAGGGTTATCGTTGATAATTCAATATAGCTATATGTGTCTTACAAAAGGTAATGGAATTTATTTCACAGTAATAACCAAGGCTCGTTTTGTAACCATTTTTGGAAAGTCTACCCCTAAATTGTCTGTTCCTGTGACATTGACATACTGTATGACATAAAATGTTTGTGTGTACTTTCTTTCGTGGTTTGGAGCTTTCAAGTTATTTCGTGGGTACAAACTTTCGTGGTGAGCCCGTACGTAGTGTTTTAATTTTTGTTGTTACCCACGTACAAGGAAATATATCTACCTTTCCGAGAATCATTGGTCTAACACCGTACCACATTTGCGGTATGTTTTAAAATGACAAAGAGTAACACTCATCATCATACTTCTCTGTTCATATCAAGCAATTAAAATAATTCTCACAGAGGTAAAGTGAATATAACTATGGTGGGAGTACTAGTGTTGACATCATGCTAAGAAAAACACTGACCTGATCTCGCGACGCCCTTTAGGCCTACCGTTTCACTTGATTGATCACATACTTAATTTATCAATAATAAACTATATTTGTACAATAGATTGATAACACTGGTCAATTTCAGTAAAAACATACCTTTATTTTAAATGAATTGTTCAAGTACATGTATCTTAAATTATCCCTCCATGAATCACTGTGTCAATATCACACAAAGTGTGAAATCGGTATATAAACTAGAATAGGAACACGGTCTGATGGAATCCGGAATTTTAAAGCCGTGAAAATGCGTATATTTTAGAACTACAATTATTTCAAGTTCATATAAATTTCACATTTACGTTGTGTACATTCTTTCAAGTAGTTGAAATATTCGTTGTATCTATATTCATGATTCCATAGCAACCACAAAAACAACGAAAGTTTGTACACAATGAACATTTCATGTTATACAGTATGTGTACATGTATTTATCCCTTTGGTCTATAAACTAACTGTGATCGATTGATTGATTGGTTTGATGTCCGCTTCACTACCGGTAGTTTCTTATTGTGACCTTCGACACCTATTTGATACTAACCCCACTGGACCATCCAGTTCTTGCGTTCACACTTGACAAGGGCCTCAGCAACAGTGTTCACACCCTGCTCCACCCAGATCTTTGCTGTGGCTGGCCCCACCCCAAATATTGTGGAGAAAAGCTACAAGGAACAACACAGAGCCATATTCACAAAGAAGTTAGTGGTTTTTGATTTCAATTCAAAGTTCTAAGTGCAAGTACAACGATTGGATATTCGAGTCTGTAGAATTGCACAAAGTTAAATTAAATAAACATTTTTGGATTAGCATTTTTCCAAAGCTGTAACCAATAGATACCAGGTATTTGCCTGTAGAATTGTAACAAAATCCCTACTACAATTAACCATTTCAATATGGTCAAGTACAAGGGTTAAATCTGTACATGTACAACAAAACTTCCACGGAAGTCAAGTGGAGATGTTGACTGTAGTCTAGGTGCACGGTAGCTTATTGTATTTGATCTATGATGAAAGAATGAAAGAATGAAATGCAATATTTACTGTTGTATAACTTTTCAGATTGAAGAAGTCGCGTTTCGTTCAAACATCGAACTTGAATGAGGAACTTGTGTTGTAAATTTACACCAAAAACGTTTCTTCTCATTTCTTCAAAAAATATCATTTAGAATCATATTTGTACACAGTCATAATCAGTAAAATAAATGTCATTCTTTAATCGCACAATATATTTTGGGCAGCAGATTTGTTTTCTTCATAAATACACAAACCAATTTTTAGATAGTCATTCCTATACACATGTATTCAGAACTTTTCTATTTAGAGAAATAAGAATTATATTATTTATCAAAATGTAGTTCCTTGAGAATAAAAATGACATGTACTATATAAAAAGATCTACCTTGACTTTCTGAAACCATGCATCCTTTAATGTTTCTTCTACCTCTGTAGCGAACCCCTCTCCGAGAATCTCCTGCAATCAAACAAACACTCATCATGAGATGGCATCTACAATTTTTAACAGTTTTAAAGAATAAATACTTTCAAAGTGTGATAAAAAGAATCACTGAAAAAAAGTTAGCAGTAGCTCCCTTTGTACTTCTAGCAGATATAGCATCAGCTTTTAAAAGGTAACACCCCTGACCTCACTTTTCCCAATGAGAATATTTCTGGTAAAACTTCCCTTGTCTCACCCTATACCAGACAACTGTCCAATCTACACATATCTAAGGAACAACTATCCCATCTTCACTTATCTCAGGTACAACTATCCCATCTTCACATATCTCAGGTACAACTATCCCATCTACACATATCTCAGGTACAACTATCCCATCTTCACATTTCCCAGGTACAACTATCCCATCTTCACATATCCCAGGTACAACTACTCCATCTACACATATCCGAGGTACAACTACTCCATCTACACATATCTCAGGTACAACTATCTCATCTACACATTCCCCAGGTACAACTATTCCATCTACACATGTCCCAGGTACAACTATCCCATCTTCACATATCTCAGGTACAACCATCCCATATACACATATCTCAGGTACAACTTTCCCATCTACACATACCCCATGTACAACTCTTCCATCTACACATATCCCAGGTACAACTATTCCATCTTCACATATCTCAGGTACAACCATCCCATATACACATACCACATGTACAACTCTTCCATCTACACATATCTCAGGTACAACTATCCCATTTACACATATCTCAGGTACAACTATTCCATCTACACATATCTCAGGCACAACTATTCCATCTACACATATCTCAGGTACAACTTTCCCATCGACACATACCCCATGTACAACTCTTCCATCTACACATATCTCAGGTACAACTATCCCATTTACACATATCTCATGTACAACTACTCCATCTACACATATCTCAGGTACAACAATTCCATCTACACATATCTCAGTTACAACTATTCCATCTACACATATCTCAGGTACAACTACTCCATCTACACATATCTCAGGTAAAACTATCCCATCTACACATATCTCAGGTACAACTATCTCATCTACACATTCCCAAGGTACAACTATTCTATCTACACATATCCCAGGTACAACTATCCCATCTTCACATATCTTAGGTACAACTATCTCATCTACACATTCCCCATGTACAACTATCCCATCTACACATATCTCAGGTACAATTATCCCATTTACACATATCTCAGGTACAACTACTCCATCTACACATATCTCAGGTACAACTATCCCATCTACACATATCTCAGGTACAACTATCTCATCTACACATTCCCAAGGTACAACTATTCTATCTACACATATCCCAGGTACAACTATCCCATCTTCACATATCTTAGGTACAACTATCTCATCTACACATTCCCCATGTACAACTATCCCATCTACACATATCTCAGGTACAATTATCCCATTTACACATATCTCAGGTACAACTACTCCATCTACACATATCTCAGGTACAACTATCTCATCTACACATTCCCCAGGTACAACTATTCCATCTACACATATCTCAGGTACAACTACTCCATCTACACATATTTCAGGTACAACTATCCCATCTTCACATATCTCAGGTACAACCATCCCATATACACATATCTCAGGTACAACTTTCCCATCTACACATACCCCATGTACAACTCTTCCATCTACACATATCCCAGGTACAACTATTCCATCTTCACATATCTCAGGTACAACCATCCCATATACACATACCACATGTACAACTCTTCCATCTACACATATCTCAGGTACAACTATCCCATTTACACATATCTCAGGTACAACTATTCCATCTACACATATCTCAGGCACAACTATTCCATCTACACATATCTCAGGTACAACTATCTAATCGACACATATCTCAGGTACAACTTTCCCATCGACACATACCCCATGTACAACTCTTCCATCTACACATATCTCATGTACAACTACTCCATCTACACATATCTCAGGTACAACAATTCCATCTACACACATCTCAGGTACAACTACTCCATCTACACATATCTCAGGTACAACTATCCCATCTACACATTCCCCAGGTACAACAATTCCATCTACACATGTCCCAGGTACAACTATCCCATCTTCACATATCTCAGGTACAACCATCCCATATACACATATCTCAGGTACAACTTTCCCATCTACACATACCCCATGTACAACTCTTCCATCTACACATATCTCGGGTACAACTATCCCATTTACACATATCTCATGTACAACTATCTATTCGACACATATCTCAGGTACAACTATCTCATCTACACATTCCCCAGGTACAACAATTCCATCTACACATGTCCCAGGTACAACTATCCCATCTTCACATATCTCAGGTACAACCATCCCATATACACATATCTCAGGTACAACTTTCCCATCTACACATACCCCATGTACAACTCTTCCATCTACACATATCTCNCTACACATATCTCAGGTACAACTACTCCATCTACACATATCTCAGGTACAACTACTCCATCTACACATATCTCAGGTACAACCACTCCATCTACACATATCTCAGGTACAACTACTCCATCTACACACATATCTCAGGTACAACTACCCCTACAACAATGATAACCCCGTTTTATTTTACAATCCTTCAAAGTTAAATATGACATATTCCCCAAAGAAATTATTAAAATACCTGTGATAAAAGCTGATTGATATCTCCTTTTTTACCTTGATGACTTGTCTGCTGTGGCCCCCAATGTCCTTCTGTCCTTTCACCTGTTTAACGTTTGTGATCATGAACGGCAGTGACTTCAGCACACATGAAGCTCTGCGGAAAGCCAGGGAGCGCAAGTGATCCTGGCCACTGTCAATGAACTCTGCCTTCAACTGTAGCACCTCCAGGGCAGTCTGTTACGGGGAGAGAAAGGTAGGCAAATACAGGGGAATGAAATTTAAACGTAGACAAACACAGGGGGAAAATAAAAGGGACACAAAGAGTGTAAAAGATATTAAAGGTAGGCAAATACATGAGAAAGAAATTTAAACGTAAGCAAATATAGGGGACACAAATTTAAAAGTAGGTCAAAAAATATATGGGACAAAAAATACAGTCAAATACTACATTTCATCACAAAGAAAGGAATATTGGCAAATATTACATTCTGTCAAAGGTAAGAGAAAGGAAGGGAAAATATTACATTGTATCGCCTGAAGGTGTATTTTTTGTTCTTTGAAATGTTAAATTAAGGTAAACAGATCCATTATTTTATCAATTTTACTCAGACCTCCAAATAGTCAAAAAAATATTACCTGGTCAGAAATAAGTTCTTCTCAGTTGAATTCTGACCGAGTAGTGATGATGTCTGTATCGTTATTGTCATGGATGCAAGTTATAAATATCTTAATTTCAAAGTTTGTGAAATTTCCAAATAACATAAAATTATGCAGTTGACACTTGCTTTGTATACATATACAAATTAATCTGTCAATACCTTATGAAGACAAAACTCATTTCAGAAAGTAATTTTTGAGCCTATGCATGCTTCATCTTATGGCTTAAAATTGGAAAACATCAGGTAGTGAAACACTTATTTTATGTTTGTGTCATCAAAAATCTGACACATTTTTCACTTGGTGTTTGGACCAATCAAAACAATAAATTGCTCAAAGCCTTTGGTTCGGGACAATGTTTCTTTTGATTGGTCCAAACACAAATGGAAATGTATTTCAGATTATTGCTAGTATATGCATGACATACATGAAGTGTATACCAATATATAAGGTAGTTAAATAAAGAAAATTTTATTGAAGTCTAGTTTTAATAGGGGAAAAATGCTTTGCTTTGAACGATAATTTTATAGTAGGGTCATAAATTATACTTTTTCTAAAATTGAAAAGTTAGAGTACTATGAATACCTACACAGAATATTTCATTGAAGTGTCTGAGGGGTGTGGCTCGTTGACATGCCCATTCCGTGGTGGTTATCTGTGGCAAGGTCTCTATAGGGGCAGCACATTCCTCCTGTAGAAGTGAACACAATGCGTTACTTTTAGTGTCAGTATTCATCCATAGGTAAGCTGCACAAGATACTTACTTGTGGATTGTGTACCAGTACTGGAGCTACTTAATTACTTGTGGATTGTGTACTAGTAATGGAGCTACTTACTCTGGGATTGTGTACCAATAATGGAGCTACTTACTTGTGGATTGTGTACCAGTAATGGAGCTACTTACTCTGGGATTGTGTACCAGTAACGGAGCTACTTACTTGTGGATTGTGTACCAGTACTGGAGCTACTTAATTACTTGTGGATTGTGTACCAGTAATGGAGCTACTTACTCTGGGATTGTGTACCAGTAATGGAGCTACTTACTTGTGGATTGTGTACCAGTAATGGAGCTACTTACTTTGGGATTGTGTACCAGTAATGGAGCTACTTACTCTGGGATTGTGTACCAGTAATGGAGCTACTTACTTGTTGATTGTGTACCAGTAATGGAGCTACTAACTTGTGGATTGTGTACCAGTAATGGAGCTACTTACTTGTGGATTGTGTACCAGTACTGGAGCTACTTAATTACTTGTGGATTGTGTACCAGTTATGGAGCTACTTACTCTGGGATTGTGTACCAGTAATGGAGCTACTTACTCTGGGATTGTGTACCAGTAATGGAGCTACTTACTTGTTGATTGTGTACCAGTAATGGAGCTACTAACTTGTGGATTGTGTACCAGTAATGGAGCTACTTACTTGTGGATTGTGTACCAGTACTGGAGCTACTTAATTACTTGTGGATTGTGTACCAGTTATGGAGCTACTTACTCTGGGATTGTGTACAAGTAATGGAGCTACTTACTCTGGGATTGTGTACAAGTAATGGAGCTACTTACTTGTGGATTGTGTACCAGTAACGGAGCTACTTACTTGTGGATTGTGTACCAGTAATGGAGCTACTTACTCTGGGATTGTGTACCAGTAATGGAGCTACTTACTTGTGGATTGTGTACCAGTAATGGAGCTACTTACTTGTGGATTGTGTACCAGTAATGGAGCTACTTACTTGTGGATTGTGTACCAGTAATGGAGCTACTTACTTGTGGATTGTGTACCAGTAATGGAGCTACTTACTTGTGGATTGTGTACCAGTAATGGAGCTACTTACTTGTGGATTGTGTACCAGTAATGGAGCTACTTACTTGTGGATTGTGTACCAGTAATGGAGCTACTTACTTGTGGATTGTGTACCAGTAATGGAGCTACTTACTTGTGGATTGTGTACCAGTAATGGAGCTACTTACTTGTGGATTGTGTACCAGTAATGGAGCTACTTACTTGTGGATTGTGTACCAGTAATGGAGCTACTTACTTGTGGATTGTGTACCAGTAATGGAGCTACTTACTTGTGGATTGTGTACCAGTAATGGAGCTACTTACTTGTGGATTGTGTACCAGTAATGGAGCTACTTACTTGTGGATTGTGTACCAGTAATGGAGCTACTTACTTGTGGATTGTGTACCAGTAATGGAGCTACTTACTTGTGGATTGTGTACCAGTAATGGAGCTACTTACTTGTGGATTGTGTACCAGTAATGGAGCTACTTACTTGTGGATTGTGTACCAGTAATGGAGCTACTTACTTGTGGATTGTGTACCAGTAATGGAGCTACTTACTTGTGGATTGTGTACCAGTAATGGAGCTACTTACTTGTGGATTGTGTACCAGTAATGGAGCTACTTACTTGTGGATTGTGTACCAGTAATGGAGCTACTTACTTGTGGATTGTGTACCAGTAATGGAGCTACTTACTTGTGGATTGTGTACCAGTAACGGAGCTACTTACTTGTGGTTTGTGTACCAGTAATGAAACTACAAACACTTGCAACATACCCCCTTTAACTACCACTTTAAGCACTTGGGCTATAACTAACACTGCACAATTAATACTTTGTACTGCATCATGTATTCTACAAATTGACGGATAAGAAATGAAATTTAGAGGAAACACAAATACAATATTGAATAATTATCAAAAACCATGAGATTTTTCCTGGTATGACAGTATATAAGTGACAAAGTCCAAATTATTCTGATGTTTTATTGACTTTTTTTATATTGGTCTGGCTGGCGTTAATCGACGCCAGACCGAAATAAAAAAAAGTTGATAAAACGTCGGAATAATTTGGACTAATAAGTGACAGTGTAAATTGTTGACTGCAAAACTACGTACTGGTACTGCAAATACAGTTGGTTTCAGCTCCAGAGTGAGGGAGTAACAATGGTTTCAGCAGCCCTGAGATTTTATACTAATATACTTTATATACTGATGTAAATAAACAACAGTTGTTACACATTTCAAAAATGATTGCTTTTGACTTTCCGTAAAATAATCGTAAAATACAATTGTAATACTACATCTGTTAGAGGGTTAAAGTGTCTAGGGTCACTCTGCTTTGCCTACAAAAACATTGATACCTTTGGCACTGTCACCCTCTTTATTGAATGCCAAAGCAGCTTGTATAAAATGACTGTACCTCTGGAGGGGGGTCTGGTATCCTGTGTTCATCTTCTATTGGTAATATTTCAGCTTTTTTAATACAAGCTGTAAACCATGTAAGGCGAAGAAGTTCAATTCCTATCAGTATGGAATGATCCACAATTTTGAGTTTGCGTGCAACTTTTAATCTGTTGTCCAATTCACTCACTATGTGTGTCACTTTTGGGCTGAAAAGCAAGCAAAGCAAAATATATATCTTTGAATTTTACAAAAGCAAGATTGTTTTTTAGTTCCATATTTTAATTAATTACAGATTGAAATCTTAGGCAATGTGATATTTACAAGTATTTTCACTTTTAATATTATATTTTCTGTACAGTAAGTAATAGATACGTCCTATACTATTCCCATATTTTAGGTTTTTCGTGCTTTCACAGGAGGTCACAACTGCCTTTGATCATCCTATCATCGAGTTTTGTGTATCAACTGTTTTAAATCTTCTGACAAACAATTACAGCCATATTGTAATATTCAGCGCATCATAATATTCTGTGCATGAACATTGTTTCTACGAATGTGCATAATTTTTAGTGCAAAGCATGTCCATGATCTGCAACATTAAAACACTGTCATTTTATTAAAACGGACTATATAGTTTTTACATTTTCAGCCTCTCATGGTTAGCTTCATTCATGGCTCTGAAGTAATATACGTGAAACTGCTGTTAAAGCATTAAAAATAAAAAAAAGGTGGCAAATTAAACAACCAAAACGAGTTTAAGGGAATTCAAATATATATTTGAGTGATATTTTTTACCATTTGAATGAGCAAAAACAGTTTAGAAAATTGGGTCATACAAACGGTAGCCACAAATTCAAAACCCAGCCTAAATGTTTAAAAACAAAATTGGAAAACGCTACACATATCATTTGATTCATTTAACTACAATTGCTTAAGTTCGCCAAGTATCCTAACTGCACTTGAATACTAAGCTTTAATTAAACATGATGTTATCAGAGACAGCTGCAATTAAAATGACAGGAAGATCAACCTGAACAAGAACAACATATTATATATTTAATCAATTCAATATATAATTAAATTTATAGCTACAGGTGGTTTCCTGAACAGTATAGTCACAAATGACATGTTTATGTATATTTCATGGGAGTGTTGCCCACTTATAAGCATTTATTTATTAATTATTTGAATTAATACACAAATATCCTTTCTTTCAAATCTGTTAACATCAAACGCAATATACAATTGATACAAATCATACGTTTGAACAACAAATTGAGTGTAAATGACAAATATAACTCTAGCAAGTAAGTTAACAGTAACCAAATTATGCATGCAAGCTTTTTGACACAAAACCATTACCAGAATGACTCCACAAACGATAGTTTTTTCCGTCTGGCTGCAGATTTGATATCCTTTAAACGCTTCTTTTGAATCCTTGTTGGTACAATATAAACACATACAGGTTTGCTCTCGCTGGTGCTCGCTTCAGGGGTACTCATATTTGTAAATTTCTTGTTGAAAACACACCACACTGATTTGCTGAACAAGGAAAACGAAAGTTGTTGTCTAAATTTAAAACCGATTTCCGGAAAAAATATTAAGAATAAGAAAAACAAGTAGGTTCCTGTTGAACCCAGATAAATATAATGTTATCATTAATTACTGTACATTAAATGGAATACATTACAATAAATTTGGTCAATTTTAGCGGTATATTAGAGCCAAAACGAACTTGTGTAATAATGGGTATTTTACGTTTTTCTGAATAGTATGAGATATCAACTTCCTCTCGTCAGGGGGCGCGTTGCGAACCCAAACAAATTCTTTTGATACTCGACTGCAACTTCATATTTTCCGATTATTCAGGTAAAGTACTTGTCTCCACTGTGTTACGTTCATAAATATAATTGTCGCTCGTTTTTGGTAACATTCAGTTGAACTAAAATTCAGGTAAAATGATTAACAAGGAAGTGTTTCCAGTGACATGAAAAATCATTTTAGAAAAATATTATCAGCATAACTCCGACTGTAATAATCATGAATAAGATTGAAAATTACAGCTAAAATATTATATTTAATCAAACAGGTCATTTTAAGAGCATCGTTTAAAAAATATGACTCTTTGAACGATATTACGGTTTGACACAAGAAGTTAATACAGAGTTGCTCCCCTTAGAATTTAAAACCAAGAGGTTTAAATGGCCTGTAAGTTTAAAAATTATATTTAAGTGTTCAACAACCTAAATTGAGAAATTAAAAGGATAACTATGTTCTGGATGATTTCATTTTTAGCTCACCTGGTCCAAAAGACCATGGTGAGCTTATGCCATACCGCAGCGTCCGTCCATCGTCCGTCTGTCAACTTTTCCTTTAAACGCTACTAGTCCTGAACGGCCAAGTAGATTTTGACTAAATTTGGTCTTGAGTATCCTTAGGCCAAGGGGACTCAATTTTGTATAAACGGTGGGTGTGTCCCCCCTGGGGGCAGAGGGGCGGGGCCCAGTAGGGGAAATAGAGGTNTTGTATAAACGGTGGGTCTGGCCCCCTTGGGGGCTGAGGGGCGGGGCTCAATATGGGAAATAAAGCAAATTCTTAAAAATCCTTCTTCTTCTGTAGGAATGACAGGATTTATTCCATATTTAGTCTGAAGCATCCTTGGGTGAAGGGGTTCCAATTTTGTATAAACCATGGGTCTGACCCCCCAGGGGCCTGAGGGGCGGGGCCCAATAGGGGAAACATAGCAAATTATTCTTTTAAATCCTTCTTCTTCTGTAGGAATGAAAAGATTTGGTCCATATTTGGTGTGAAGCATCCTTGGGTAAAAGGGACTCAATTTTGTATAAGCAGTGGGTGTGGTCTCGCTGGGGGCAGAAAACCTTTAAAATTCTTCTTCGACCATCGTGATTAAGGGATTTTATCCTTATTTAGTCTGGAGCATCCTTTGGCCAAGGGGACTTAATTTTGTATAAACGGTGGGTATGACCCCCCCTAGTTTGAAATTTGTTATATCTCAAGTACTGGATGGATCTTTCTGAAATTTCATATGTACTTACAGCACCTACCATGGAGTGCTATATCTTTACTCCATACCAATTACTTTAAACATATTCAGGTGAGCGATACAGGCCCTCTGGGCCTCTTGTTATGTTTGGCTTGCCTATATGTAAATGACATTTTCCCATCACCATGCTAAAACAAAGGGCAATCCTATTTTTTTACAACTGAATGATAATAACCCATTTTCAAGGTCACATGGATCAAATTTGTCAAAAACAACTTTTGAATAATTAAGAGACCTATGGTAATGTTATATGCCATGTTGAAGGACAATCAAGTCTAAGCATTTTAAGTCATGGGTCATAAAACTTTTTATGACTTCTGATTACTCAAATGGGCTTGTTTGATGATATTGACAAAAACCATGCTGAGATGAATTTCTATATAGTTTGACCCCAATATTCTTCCAGGGTCACAGGTCAAATTTGTTTAAAAAAATTCTTCTGAATAACCAAGAGGTCATGATCTTTAGCCATTTGCATGCTGATTGAAGGGCTATGAAGTTTGTTAAAATGAATGACCTTGACCTTTCAATGTCACATGGGTCAAATTTGTTAAAACTTTTTTTTTAAATGACATTTACTGAATATCTATAAAGCCCTAGTGTAGCCTATAGGGTGATAATATTTGGCCATTAGTATGCAGGGATAGAGGGCTATGAAGTTTATTGAAATGATTGGCTTGACCTACTTTCAAGGTCACTGGGATCATTTGTAAAACTTTTGAAAGAACTTGCTCTGAACGACCAAGAAGCTCAGGTGATGATATTTTTTCAGTAACATGCTTGGATGCATTGAGTGTCACAGCACTGAACACTAAGTGTGGTTCAGGCTCATGGAATATCTTGTTATTGTTGCATTATGTAATCAAATTATTGTTGGCATATAACATTGTTAATTGATTAATTGATCTTCTAGTAGGGTCAAACAATTCAATGACCTTTGAGTCTAATGGCAACTGGGAAAAAAACCTTGACAGCAAGTTACTTTTCATTCTGTCATATAATCATTAACAATTAACATTGTTTCTATTTTCAGATATAGCCCAGTGCAGTCTAACAGACTGAGAGATGCCAGAACCAAATGCATTAAAGGAAGTGCTACCCAAACAGGGTCTGCTGTACCAGGAGGACACACCCACAGTCGTCCTGTGTAAACCCAAGCTCCTCCCTCTCAAGTCTGTCACACTGGAGAAAATGGAGAAAATGCAAAAGGAAGCACAAGAGACAATTAAACAACAGGAACTGGAGGAACAGGCCCAACAGTCAGACCTATTATATGGGGGATTCTAGACCTAATGATAGTGGGCATTGGCTACTGTTATAGACATTAAAGATTTGAGATTTCGAAAATCACAGATGAAAGAGGATGGAATGAATGATTTGAAGATTTCTGGATATTCTTATCATGTTCATATGCTGTGTTTGCTTGATCAAGACTTAACATCTTCGTTGGAATGACTTGTAATGAGGCAAAGTAGTAGCTGGTCTACTACTGGCCTATATCCTTGACATCGTCTCAACACTGATCTTACCAAATTGTATCTAGTTATATTCAAAATACACTAGTATATAATACAGACTTTCATTTGACTTTGATCTGAAATAAAGGAATACTAGAAAGGAAATATTTTACACTCTATAATCTGTAAATATTCTGTAATTTGCTTTTCACAACAATGAATTGAAAATTATCAAAATTATTATTGTTATGTGTTTTATAACACTTGAATCGTTGTTCATTATGAATTTGTAATTAATACCACATGAACATTAAAGATGCAGTAATTTAATGTTGTTTGGTCTGGTACTTAATTCATTACTATAAAATGCTATGACATGAGTTTCATTGATGAATATATATATATAAAACATTGTGTTTGTCAGCTCTAGGCCTAAATACAAACCATGGAATCTACCTTACTCACTATTAATCTTAATTTCAAGAGATCTGTATGACTACGTTACTATGCATGGACAGTTAGTTGGTGAATGATCCAATTTATAGACTATAACTGGGTCGGGCTGTATATGTATACAATACACATGTATATGGACCATGGGGTTAGGGATCTGTGCCACGCCCCTGTGTAGGCTATTAACTTATGAACCTGAAATATAAAAACAATTTCAGATCACACAAAAAAAATGATAGCTTTTGCATTTTAGATTCCTCCCTTTTTATGACAGTTATTCCCTTCATTTAAAATAAAAATAGTTATTACTTGGGAGTTAAGGGGATCGGCCTAACAGGCTAACAATGAAATACGACAGATTCATTTCTTCAACTCCAATTGTGATGTCTATATTCTTTTTGCAGTTTACTTTTTTTTTTGAACTCTTGAACCTTAAGAACTACAAATTTTGTTATAATATCTACTAACCTTTATAAAAATAGATTTTTTTTTTTTATCTTTTTGAGATTTTCGATGTGTAAATGGATTAGATAGCCTAGTGGTTTGCAGCTCATTTCAACACTTTTTATCTGCAGAGTTATGTCCCTTTCCACAAAAAAAATGCATGACTAGTGCTTCTCATTTAAAAGTGTAACTTAAGGATGTACACCTCTGAGAAGTCAAAAAAATCCTGTATTAAACTTTTTTTCTTATATTGATTTTTGGAAAAAGGAGATGATGGCATAGTAGAAAATGCAAAAAAATATATATGTCCGTGTGTTCGTTTTTGAACTATGATCAAAGATACCAATTTAACACAATAGGTGATTTTAGGTGAATTTTCGAGTTTTGACCATTTGCAGAACAAATTCATACAATTTCTTCCAAGTGTGTTATCAGATATGTATGAATGTTTGTAGAATTGATAAAAAATATTATTTTCTTTTAAATTATAGAAGTAAAATTTCTTAATCTGATTCATTTTACTCAGAAATGCGGTTTTAGTTAGCCCTACCCCTTATTTTTTAATGAAAAATGCACATTTTTTCACCATTTTTTGCAGATTAAACACTTGATATAAAAAAAACCTGTATTAAACTTTTTTTGGTATTCAATGAATGAAAAGAAGATGTGTTTCTCTTTCTAAAACAGCCACAGAAATGGGGTGTCGGTGTGCTTCTTTTTTTTGTCCCATTATTATTTGTATTATTTTTCACCTTTTTCGGGTTCAAAAATCAAAAGTGCTTCAGTTATGTAAAAAAAATACCAATAATATATAACTTTCCACTTTTTTGCATATTATTTTAATCATATTGAACATTATTAAGTTGTACATCAAAATTGAACCTGCTACATTTAAAAATGGTGACACAATGACAATTTAAGTGATTAATCTAGTGTCTAAAAAGGTGGAATTTTGCCCTTTGTGAAGCGCAAGAAATTCACATAAATACACTTTTTCAAAATGGCCGCCAAATTGGTCATTGTTTTCAAGTTCTTGTAAAAAAAAATCTACACACAATAGACATCTACTTTTTTTACATGTTTTTTAGATGTGTGTTTGCTATTAAACGTATCATAATTTGATAAATATTACAAAAACACGTTACACCAGATCAAAACAAGACTTGAACGTGACTGAAACCTCAGAAGAGTACATCCTTAACATTTAACTCCAACATGGATTATTATGGTTAAAAATCTTGTTAGTTTGGAATTCTAACTCCTCACAACAGCCAGTGTCATGGAGACGGATGATGGTCACTAAATTAAATTTAGGGTCAATCATAACCTTGACACAGTAGCATGACACTCCACGTCGTATCCTGACAATGGGCTAACTAGCTCTTACCGCTATCAGAGAGAGCAGCAAGCTCCATTTTGATGACTTTTGTTTGTCTCAGTGTACATGTCTCAATACAAAAAGGAGAGAAAGCTGTCTCTTACTTATTCCGTCTTTTCGTATTGCAGAGTTATCTGCTCTTGTGAGCAGGTATTGATTGCTACGTTATTTGTTTGTGAGAGTAACTTCATAAATTTTTGAGAAAACGACGTAATTTTCTCACACAAACTAATGACGTAACAATCAATCCCTGCTCACAAGAGCAGATAACTCTGCAATACGAAAAGACAGAATAATTGGAGTGTGAACATCAGGCATATCTCTTCAAATATTTTTTTCTTCGTTGTAACTTTGAGTGCTGATCAGACTCATTAGGTAAACATGGGTTAAATGTGTTGAGGCTTTGATATACATAATATTTGTCTTAATTGAACTATATGTTCCTCATGAAAATGACTGACCCACATTGCACTTTGAATCCGGCACCAGGGTTAAATATGTTTATAACTTAAGACAGCTTCTTTAAATTTGGTGTTCACTTTTAGTTCTAGAGCATCTGGAATCATCTTGTATGTGTGCATGTCATGATGTCTACATTTATTTGATGACAGTCAATTCTACAGACTCAAGGAAATCAAACGGGGAGACCGTTCCATCTTCATGCAAAAGATTGGAAATATTCAAGTACAAAAAGCAACAAATCTGTTAAAAATCATGGCACCAACACTGCCAATTCTCCTGCTTAACAAAAGCGATGGTGTAAAATCCTTCCAATGAGTTTTCTAAGGAAATTAAATGAAAAGCTGGGTGACTTAATTGGTGGAAATAGCCGGAGTTTCCTCTGGCCCTAACACCAGACTTAGACATTTTGATATATAGATGTTTAGTCCCCACACCAGACATCTCTATGTCAAAATGGCTAAGTCTGGTGTTAGGGCCAGAGCAGAGATATATGTCTCTGGGCCAGAGGAAACTCCGGCTATTAGGTGGTCAGACAAATTTCTGAGTGATACAGAAGAAAAACCACAGAAAGTCTTCAGTTTGACGGGCAGGGTAGTTTCAATGTAAAAAATAAATTGCATCAAATCAGAGACGTATAAAGCCATATTATATACGTCTCTGATCAAATATAGAAGAACTAGTTGTCCCATTATGTGATCTGCAAGATTCTCTTTGTTGAGTACTGTAATATCAAATGACTTATTTTAGATGATACGTTGGGCCTTCAACATTTTGGTTTATCCTGTCCTATTAATCGTTAATCAGAGACGTATAAAGCTACATAGGTTTTTGTGTAAATGATACGTATACCCCCTCCCCGCCTGATTCTTAGGAAAAAGAAAACATTGTCGGATTTGAGCATGACTATGTCTAGTAAGTAAACATTGCATTTTTATTGGCAATATGCCCTGTATAATTGTAGCAGCATTTTCATCGAAGTCCGTGATTGTAGACAGACGTATACTTATATAGGGTCTACCACGTGCTGTTAAAAAAGTTTGAAATTGGCGCCAAATATATAAGCCACTTCCGGTTATAAGTATTCGGAATGCCTCGATTGTTGTGTATAGTTTTCTATGATACGAAAGAGGAGTTCGGTTGAGATGTTTACATCTACGTGTAAGAAGGAGAGACCGCCGAATCACAAAGTGGAAATCTGATGCAAACCGTGTACAGTAGTGTATATAACAAGGTTTTTCAGTTAGTATAATATATTTTTGAGGTGATCGCTTTTCTGAAACTACTAAGGTAATAACAATGTAAACGAAACGACACTAAAAATGTGTCTTGCCAGCCTCGGATCTTGTCTGTTCATCAGTCCATTGTCAAGCTGATCATGGTCAATGGAGAAAGACACCGGTAGGCCTTGCGTTTGAGATGGTTTTTGACAGCATGTCTTCATGTGGTAACAGTAGGCGGTATATTCACCTGTATATTCACCTGTATAGATACACGTACGTTATGTCTGTCGCAAACTTCTCGGGGTGAACTTCCATCACATGTACATTTATCTGTTGATTACTGTACGTGTCCAGCCAGAGACGTATTACATATATGTTGATATGAATATGGATATGTATGTCTCTGGTCCAGCCTGTACAGATGCTTGACTTTTTGTAAAATTTATTAACTTGGAAAGTATGTGGATACATAGCACGTTGACTGCTTTTGTTCCTACAAATTAAATGATTACATTTTTCAAGTCGGTGAAAGTAAGCTCTAGGCTAGTAAAACTGAAGTTCTGGATACAATTCTAGCTGTGTGGTGTCAGGACTTGGACCTTCATTTAAGGGAAAACTTGTCTTCGTTTTCATGTGACCTAATCCCTTTGTTGTAATAACTGTTATGTAAATGTACTATGATGAGTTATGTATGCCTCTACATATCTACATGATGCTTGGTTTGTATTTCAGAACACTACAATGATGCCATTGATAAAGGGATTGAGAGTCCTGAACCTTCTCAGCGTGTCCTTATTTCTTATCTGCTGCTACCACATGTTGGCCAACACACAGAAAGTGCCACCTGGTGGAGACAACATTCGCAATGGGGGAGCTCTCACGCTTGTACCCCAGGACCCGACTGACGATGGTAACTATCAGACTGGAACTCAAGGGGCAAATTAACACATAATATCATACTCAAAGTTTGGGGTTGGCTTATTACAGGACAGTTAAAAAGCATTTATCGGTATTTCTACTGAACTGTAATAAATATGGATGGGCTTATTACCAGATAGAGGCTAATTTCTGGATAAAACGTAATATTAAGAATGCCCAGTAATGCGGTGAATGGATAGCAGAATCATGTATCTGTGTAATATGTTTATTTGTATAACTGTAACTAAGAGGTTGCAACATTTTCACTTCTTTGTCCATTAATATTATTGAAGGGTTTTTGAAGTGATTGTAATGAAACTTGATCTGCAAATGAAACTTGATATGCAGTCCTCTTGTCCATCTTTGTCTGCAGTCCTCTTGTCCATCTTTGTCTGCAGTCCTCTTGTCCATCTTTGTCTGCAGTCCTCTTGTCCATCTTTGTGTATTTATGTATCTGATATCTGAATAGAGTAGGGGTTGCAACAACATAATTGAAAGTCCTTGTTTGTATCAGCAAAGTTAAAAAGTCTTATTTGTGTAACTTTTCTTTTTTCCAGCTGACGTTACAGTGGAGAATAGCGAGGAAATAGATGAGGATGTACCCAGTATGGGTGTGTTCTATCCAACAAAGGAATGGAAAACTGTCAAGAAAGGTAAACTGGTAATAAACACACTAAAAGTTTGCTACTTTTTCCGCGCTAGAAACCCTTGGCAAAATGTAGACAAATAATGCAACAACTACAATTGACCTTGGACACCTGTGTTAAATGTGATTTGTTAGTGGTGTAATGCATCATCACCATTACTGGTATGTTATTGAAGGACACAGTAGTGCGTTAATGAGCCATTCCCTCGATCTATTACTAAACAGTTATCAAAGTACTGAATTTATTTCCTGTATTATTGATCATGATGTGTGCTGACTCTTTGATATACTATAAATATATACTATCCCGAGGGATGGTTGAGTGATGCCGTGGATAATGCACTTCCCTTTCTGCAAGGCGGCAGTGGTTCAAAACCCTGATTGGATGTGAACGGTATTGGTCCACCTGCCTGACCACGTGGCACTCTCGTTTCCTCTCACATTAAGACCCTCTGCATGCTTCCATCTAGGCTAACAAGAGTGATTAATATAAGTTATAAAACTTGTTTCACAATTGTTGTAAAATAAACAAAGTTTACATGATAGATATCCTATTACTGTATCATTGATTTTAAATTACAGGTCAGGCTATTCCAGCAGGTCTTCATGTACGTATGAATCTAGAGACTGGTGGCCGGGAGGCGAAGCTGATGGAAGGCGACAGTGAGAACAAGTACCGGAAGTCGGGTAACAAGGGAGGTAAGTTTAACCATAGCTTTTATTGTATGGTACGAATTAATCAAATCCTTTTTTCTCTAACCCTGAATAGGTGTATCCTCATGTTAACAAAGGAATAAAGTATTGAGCACTGCAGGATCACCGAGGGTCTTCTGCTCAATATTTTATCATGAGGGTTTGAATAACCTTATCCGTACCTCACATCAGGGATGGATTCTATTTCTTGCTTATTACCAAAACCTGTAAAAACATCTGCTCTTTTAGTAAATTTGTAAACTGTCCGCATATTTCTCATTTGCATATGAAGCCCTGATGGCAATTGTTAATGACCTCAAAACGTCATCAAATGAGGTTGCAAACGATAGCGTGACCCTGAAAGGTCATATGATTCCCCCGCGAGTCTGCGCGTGTAAGCAATCCAGACCTGTGGGTCGGTTAGAATTTTTCAGCACCGCCGGAATTGCGGATATCTCGGTCTAGTATGCAAAAAATCCTTGTCTCACCCTAGGGTTGAGGCGGGGGGAATTCCCCTATACATTGTGTATAATGGGTGAACAGGGTAAGAGAAAAAGAATAACTCACCCCCTTGTGGTTGAGATAGGGGAATCTCAACCCTCAGGGAAAGATTCTTAAATTGCCAAACACTCGGCAAAACATCATGTTTTTGCAACTAAATAATCTTCCCCCTCAGGTTGAGATTCCCCAATCTCGATAGATTTTATTAGTCTTTACATAATTACTTATTACTCAGTGAGGTATCCAGTTGTCTGTAATCAGGCCTTCATCTCTTCACACAGAAAAACACTTACTGTTCAGCAACCTTTTCCTGTACTTAAATTCTTAATTTACTGTTACAAAATAAAGGGTTTATCTGTGAAAATGATATAATATGATACATGTTTTTTTTTGCAAACTGTTTCAATCTGTTGAATATGTCATTAGTGTCCTTGTTACGTGTTTTACAGGTAGGGTGAATCCAAGCCAAAAGTCCTTAACTCCACAACAGCTGAAAGAGGCATTGAAAGAATTTAAGACAACAAAGCTTGATGACCAGGATAATGAAGTGGTATGTCACACATAAGATGTTTATTATTGTTACACCTCAAGTGAATTTCTAGCTATTTGATTGGTTGGGAGAAAATTAAACAAAAATCTCTGTCACCCTCCGAAAATACATTGGTTTTACGGGGCGCGTGTGATATTGCCATGAGACAGTGAAAAATATCACATGCGCGAAAAATGTGCGTTCACCGCTTCGTTTCCCCACCGTGATGGTCACAAGAACGTTTGACGGCAACAGCCAATTTTATCAAGCGCCGCTGCGATAGCGATTGTAAACAGCAGACTATCAACAAACAAGATGTCATTATCGAGGTTTGCTGCCGTTTCTGATCTAAAAAGACTTTTGGCGTAACAAAATAGATATGACATTCATTAGCAGGTGACAGTGAATATTGTCAACCCTCAAAAACACATTGTCACCCTCGGCTTCGCCTCGGGTGACAATGGTTTTCTCAGGTTGACAATATTCACTGTCACCTGCTAATGAATGTCATATTTATATACTGTATCATTGTCTTGACAAGAGTAAGTTGCAAATTCAAGCAAGTATATTGTGAATAGTTAGGAAGAAAGAGATATTTTGTGAGGAGAGTAGTTCTTTCAGACACGATTAAACAAAGAATATAATACTGTAATCTTTATTCAGCTATAATCTGTAAAAGCTGTTGTTTATCCTTTCAAGAATACTATAAGGGTCTAGTTTTATTTGTTCTAATTTAATGAAGTTTTCCTTTTCTTCTAACAATTTCTTTATTTATCTCATTCGAAATATTGCCAATGTGCCAAAAGTGCACAGGACAAAAAGTGGTTTTACTCTATTTAAAACTCATGCAGGTTCGGGGAAAGAATGGGACTGTTGTATTGCACTGTATGATCTAAGGAGGCAAGTTATGTAGACCCCTGTAGAATCTGAAGTTTTCTTTGTCTACTACCAGGATAAAAAAGGGGGAGACCAACATTGATCTGCTGCTTCCATTGCAACACTTGGGATATTCTTTGTTTGTTATCTTTCCTAAATTCCTACGTTTTTTCCTATCTACTTTCTCTTTCCGACAGTGTCTCCCTATGTACCAGTGCTTATACATGTATAGCTCTGGCTGTTTCACAGACATTAAACTCCAAACAAACAAACAAATACTGTATGTGATAAAAATATACCTTTAGATACCACTGTGTAAAATGGGTGTTCATGTTTCTGTTTCCATCAGAGAAAGAAGGAAGTATTTAAGTCGTTTCGGAAGTATGACGAGCTGAAGAAAGAGCTTGCAGATATGAATTCAGAGATAAAGACAGATGCCGAGATAGTAACACAGATGTTCCACAGACTGAATTCTACAGACCTGGATGGTACACAGAAAAAACATCTGTTAGAAGATCTAGAGTATTATCTACATCAGGTAGGTTGTCACATGTCTGCTCTTATCTTGATAAATCATTGATGAAAAGAAAACCTTACCTTGCGGGACTTATATAAAAAAATAATAAAGATGAAACAACCAGAATATAATCAACAGAAGTTTTCTGAGTTTAAAAACATTCAGCAGGGCTACATCTGGATTCAGACTTCAGGTTTGTATTCTTTTGCTATAACCAAGTTAGCTACCTGGTGAACAGTCTAAGTGTACTAGTCTAAATGTGCTACAAGTTATATCTAAACAGAAGTTAAGGGGAGGTTACTGTACATAGAAAAAAACAGCAGTTAAGTGGGACAGGGATCCTTAGTAATTAATTTCCCCATCATTGCTTTTGTGACTCATTTCAATTAAACTTTCTTTTAATTGATTTTAAAACATGGATCAACAAAATCATGTGCACATAGAATTCTAGCTGCTGAAATTTTCCATATAATATGAATAATTAGTCAAGAAGCTCTCATTTAATCGCAGGATTTTGCTGAGCTAAAAACTTTTTGGGGTAGTAGATTTTATTTTGGGATCAGTGAAATACTTTTTATATTAACTAATTTACTACAAAAATATCAGGAAGGCAAGTAGAACTTTTCAAAATTAAATTGCAGACTAGAATTATAAATATGAAATTGAACAAATGTGAATTTGATGCGATCAGGATTAAAATGAAGATTCCTTTTATCTGATTTAACAAGAATGTCGGCAGAAAGTGAAGAAAAAGATTTTTCTGACCATGTTCTGAATTGTTCTTTTGACTTTTTGCCTATTTTCTTCATCAAGAAGACAATGCCATGACATCATGACGGTGCATTATAATGCAGAGATCATTTGCAACATATATGATAACAATTAGCATTTAGCAAAACATGGTATTCCTGTGATAAAAATGTAATTTGTTTCTGTACTTTGACAGATTGACAATGCCAATGTATTCTGTAACCTTGGTGGAATGACACTGCTGATGAAGGGACTAAATGATAGTTTGGCCCTCACCAGGGAGCAGTCAGCCTTTGTAATAGGCTCAGCAGTACAGAGGTAGGTGTATATTTCCATTGCCAGTGCTCCACATAGAAGCGTATCCCATGGTGTCCTTCCTACTATACGATGTAGCCTTCCCATCCCCATCTCCTGTTATCAGGGGTTTCAGTATCTGACTGCTAATTCTTCAGATTAGATTTCCTAAACATCAGATTGACACATTAGACCAGTTGTCCCTACTCAAACTTAGGGGAACAGGAAATTTTGTACTTAATGTACTGGTATGTTTTTGCTGTCCTCTCTATGTATTTGAACCATATTGAAAAAAAAGCAGTAGATTGATTTGATGAATTAATTTTAATTCACTACACTGATGTTATTACTTAAAAGTAAGTCAATGTTTATGTAAGTGGACATTTATAAAAATAAACCTGAACTATCTAATGAAAGTATCATCAAAATGCAAAGAAAGTTTTTGAAGCTCACTGCATCCAAATCACCATGGTCCCAACCAAAAAAGAGGGGAGACAATTGACTGATAGGTAATATTAAAGGCCCATGAACACTATAAGATTATAAATAAAATTGGTACCAATTTGATTTTAGAAGAAAACAAAACTGAAGAGAATTGTAAATAAAAGTAGCAAGCAGTTTTGGCAAGATTGCATTTTGCGGGCATATCAGGAGTATTTAATTTAAATCTTTAAATCATAAAACAATCTTATTGTCTGATTAAATATATCAATTCATGTTAATTCAGCTAGGAAATACATGTACCTTCTTTTCAACTAAGTGAACCTAACCAATCTGACAGTTAAAGGATCTGACTGGTAGCCAGGTATATACTTTGTAATTGAAAAGTGTTTACATGTTTATGTTATTTCATCATCCCCAACCCCCTGCATTAAAGATCAGAGGAGATATTGCATATGTCATCTGGATTTGTTCCCATTGGTAAGCAGCAATATGACATAAACTTTATGTAGGATTTTAGGACTGCTGTCCAGAGAAGGTCACTATAGATATGAATAGAAAATAACAAGAAGAAAAAGAATAGGGTTCTCACCCCTATTTACCTTGGTTCTATAATGTTTTGTTGTCATCCTTCAGTAATCCTGCGGCACAGATCAAGGCTTTAGAGGCAGGGATCTTACCACAGCTGATCCGTCTGTTGTCGACAGAGCCAGAAGCTAGGGTTCTACCTCGCCTTCTTTATGCTCTGTCCTCACTAATCCGACACTTCCCCTACGCTCAGAAACACCTCCTTGATCTTGGGGGCCTTGCAGCACTAAAGAGCATGATCCCTAACAACAAGGATCTCCCCAATCTGCAGGTGAAGGTCGTCACTCTGCTTCAAGATCTTATTGTAGAAAAGGTAATAAATGGCAATAAAATATGGTTCGACTAAAAGGTAATGTTTAACTGTTTTATAGAACAGGTACAGTATACTAAATACAAGGTGAAACCAGTAAGTTAGTTGTCGGGGGGGGGGGGGGGGGAATCCAGCAACAACACAAAAAGTTAATGAGAAATCAAAATCCTTGATTTCCTAGTTGATATTTGGTTTTTGTATAATCTTGTATAGTTAATGATGTGATGGGACTAATTGCAAAGATGTACAAAATAAAACAAAAATCTACGAGTTGTGTTGAGAAAAAGCACACTATTAGATAAATGTGTCTTCAAAATTAAATTGTGTTTAGATAATAGAATAACTGTTGTGAACCTCTTAGATACAGATATATGTTTAACTTCTATTACACCACTGTATAAAAATAATGCTAACAAATGTACATGTACTTTTTTTTCTTTTCCAGGATATTACATTGTCAATAGAGAACAAAAATAAAGAAAAAGTGCAACAATATGAAATGTAAGTCTATTATTTTCCCCAAACTAGTCATTACAAAAACAACAAAGCCATGCTGTGTTGATATTTTTGTTTGTATGTGTGAAAGTTTTACATATTTTCTTTGCCTTTTTAGCTTGTCTATTTGAAGAATAGTGGGGCTAAAGCAGTACCCACGGCGTCACGGTCCCACTTGGTTAAGATTTTTGGGCAAGCTGTGTATTGGTGTTTAACTCAACTTTTAATTAATTTTACATTGTAATATGGTTACAGCAATTGCTTGGAGGAGGATCCTTAGCAACAAGTTGGACCATATTTACTCATTATTGGTTCAAAACACAAGTCTTTTGGAATTGGTTAAAGTTTTAGGGCAAGTTCTAGTTCTGTTAAAACTTCAGGGCAGATTTCAACCAAATTTGTTTGGCAGGAAGTCTTATAGCAAATCAAATTAAACATTATCATGAGTTCTACATTTTAAAGCAATTTATTTAAACATGTGGTGTAAAGAGGGATGAGGGATAAGGGGTAAAATAACTTTTTCTACACTGTTTTAAGTAGGAACTTGAAACTTTTAGACATGGTAGATAGATGTATGAGGAAGTGCCCCCAGGGCTTACATTGGGGGAATAGCGGAAGAGTGCCATCGACAATGTAGTTCTAGTTTCCTGATCTATTATCTAAGATGGAACATCCTGTGTAGTCGCCCAATTACTTCTAGCACTTTTTACAAAAATAAGTTTAATAGGCGAGCTATGCTCTTTTTATTACTTCATCACGTAAGAATAACTCATTGTTTCTCTTAAACCATCATGTAAGTGAGGGTGATACTATGATTATAGCTAAGCGAGGCTGAAATTTATATTTTTGTGTGATATTGAATTGGGGTACATAAGCAAATCTTGAATGTCGAGCAGAGTGAGGCAAACAAACTTTTTTATGAAATTTATGGTTCAAATATAATCAAACTGAAAGTGAGAAAATGGAAAATAAGTCTGCACTGCTACTGTAGGGACACTCCAATGAAAAAACTACCCATATTAGGACTCCAAAATAAATTACTTCTATAATTTTAATGCCAGTTGTCTATTATGTTCTATGGGTGGACTGATGCCACCTAAAGAAAACTGAGTCCTGGAGTGTGATAGATGTTTTAGTATTATAGCCTTCACTATGTACTCTTTGAAGTCCTTTTATTAGATATAGTGTTGTTTATTTCAGGGTCCACCTCCGTGATGCAATAAGAGAGCAGGGCCTGTGTGTATGGTTACCTCGCCTACTGGAGGCCACTGACCACGATAGTCGGGAAAAGGTTCTCCAAGCCATGCTGACCCTGACAGATACCTGTCGGGAAGATATCTCGTTAGCTTTACCTACCCTAAAGAAACTCCTCCAGGAGTACACGCATCTAGCAGCAGGAGAGACCGATCAAGATGACCAGTATTTCTCAGGAATTGTACAATACATTACCCAAATTATATCCTCATCACAAAGGGATTCCAAAGATGAACTTTAATATATTTCATCTTTATAAAACAATTCACATTGCATTGCTGATTGACTTTTCATATCATTTTTCATAGTTTTATTTTTGTCCAGGTGGAGAATGAGATTTATTTATTAAATTTACTTTAACCTCTTCTATTTGTTGTGCTGTTTTGGGTGTACAGTAGCGGTTTAGTATTTACCATGGTGACACAAACTTGTCTTATTAGTTATCTAGATCATAGAAATTGTAAAGATAACAGGGTATTCACTCAAATTACTATTTATAGTTATCAGCCTTGATAAAGACATTGAAGAGAAGAGCTTGTTACATGGAGTCTCCACAATGTGCTGTAGACCACAGGAAGCCATTGTCCTGTTATAATCCCACCTACAATATATCTATTTAAGTTCTATAGAAATGCCAACAACACTGTATAAACGGGAACTTTTTGTTGCATTCTTACTTTGCCCTTTTCACCCTTGATTATTAATACAGTGAATTCTAGTTAAACAACTTAAGAAAAGTGTTATCTAATATGAAGGGCAAAAGTGCAAATAATAATAATTATTAATAATAAACATTTGATATATCACCCTATATAGCTAACATAAGCCACTCTAAAGCACTTTACAGTACATAGATATACGATTAATACAATTAGCATATACGTTGATCAATACAACTTTGAGGAATTCGCAGGAGCTGCCTTATCAGGCGCTAACTACTAGTCCTATACCACCTGGATAATATCTTCCTATGTGTGTATGCCTGCGTGTGTGCTGAGGATTTAATGTGTTCTGTTTGTAGTGGGACCTTGCTTCCAACGGCATCATTTATAGTGCCATCTCACTTAAATGCTACAGCACAGATACCGCAACATCCACCCCAGACCACTTTATACTCCACCTGGGTGGTTGGAGGTGTGTGGGCAGGAGGAAAACACCTTCTCTGAATATCCATGTGTACAATGACTTTGGGGATGCTGGAGTGTTAACCACTCGACCAATCCGCCCAATGAATTTTACCGGTGTATGGGCAAACATTTCTTGATACTACAGGGTTTCATCTGCCTACACCTGCAACTTTCATTGATGAATATATTAATGGAAATGGTGAAGTAATGTTATTATAACATACTTTGTGCAAAATTGTAATATAACTCAAAAATTAACTGATTTAAAAATAAAACCCCAACAATGTCAAATGATATTTGTCCTAAGTTCAGTGTAATATTTTGCAGTAATAGTAGTAGGTTTTAGGGTCCACATAAGATGGCGGCAACCTTAGCCGAGTCCAAACTTTTAAGCTTGGTTCAAATTATAGGAAGTCTGTTTCGTGATCACTAGGCCAGAGCTCATGGTACAGCAGACGACAAGAGGTCAAAAGGGCCTGTGTCACTCACCTTTTATTCAACACTATTGGCAACACAACTCGCATCTGTTGCATATATACATATCAAATTGGGTTAAGGTGAATTATATTTTAAGCAAACAAACTTATACTACAGGTTAATTATTACTCAACACTTTTAATACGCATCTTTGTTGGAAGATTTTCACTTCTTTATTCACATGGCCTTCAGAGTTGGTCAAGGTCATTTATATGAATAAATTTGATAATGTGTTACGCAAGCAAGCTACAGGCCAAATGTTGCTTTTCTGACCTAAGGATCTAAGGCCATTTAGAAGATTAGAAGAAGCAATTTGAAGTTTTTTACATATCTGACCCCTGCAAGCATGAAAGTGGATTAAGTTAATTTATTTGAACAAATTTGATGGCCCTTTACACCTACAAGATATAGGTCAAAGGAAAGACTACAGCACTTGACCCAAGTGTGTGTTAAAGTCATTTATTGCAGTTGATAGCCCTTTAATCCAACAAGCTACAGGACAAATACATTTAGTCTTGATCTAAGCCTTGTTCATATTTAATACTGTACAAGTCATTTGAAAAAAAAGGTCTCTTGACCTTTGTGACCTTTAATGTGGATTAAGGCCATTCACTTCAAAAAAAGTGGGTTACAGGTCTGAAGAAGTCTGACGCTCTGGTGACCTTTAAAATCTTTTAATGACATAAATTTTAAAATCTTGATAGTCCTTCACATCAGCATGGTGAAAGTTGATTAAGATTATAATACGTTTGACACCTATGACCTTGAAGATTGGTAAAGACCATTAATCATTTGAAGTAAATTTGATATTTCTTCACCTCTGCATGTTATATGTCAAATATCACCAATCTAAACTTGTTGGTTATTCAAAAGAAGTTGTTGAAATATTTTAATATATTTGAACCCTTAACCTTGAAAGTTTCAGATCAATCAACCCAACTATCATACAGACCAAATATAAACACAGACGAATGCCTTGTTGTTGAAAAGGTTTTTAGCTCACCTGGCACGAAGTGCCAAGTGAGCTTATGCCGTGGCGCGTCGTCCGTCGTCCGGCCGGCCGGCCGTCCGGCGTCAATATTTTACTTTAAATGACTTCTTCTTAATAACCGAAAGGCCTAGGGTGTCGATATTTGGGCAGAGGCAAACTGGGATGAAGGGCTACGTAGTTTGTTAAAAGTAATGACCTTCACCCATTTTCAAGGTCACAGGGGTCAATTGTCTTAAAAAACCTTTAAACAACTTCTTCTGAATAATCAAAATGCCCAGTGTGATGATATTAGGCCAGTAGCATGCTGAGATGAAGGGCTACAAAGTTTGTTCAAATGAATGACCTTCACCCATATGCAAGGTCACAGGGGTAAAATATGTTAAAAACTTTAAACATCTTCTTCTCGATAACCAAACTGCCCAGGGAGATGATATTTGGCCAGTAGCATGCTGAGATGAAGGGCTACAAAGTTTGTTCAAATGAATGACCTTCTCCCATATTCAAGGTCACAGAGGTCAATTGTCTTAAAAAACCTTCAAACAGCTTCTTCTGAATAATCAAAATGCCCAGTGTGATGATATTAGGCCAGTAGAATGCTGAGATGAAGGGCTACAAAGTTTGTTCAAATGAATGACCTTGACCAACTTTCAAGGTCAAAGGGGTCAAATGTCTTAAAATCTTTAAACACCTTCTTCTCAATAACCAAAAGGCCCAGGGTACTGATATTGGACCTGTACCATGCTGGGATGAAGAGGTAATAAGTTTGTTAAAATGAATGACCTTGACCAACTTTCAAGGTCAAAGGGGGCAAATGTCTTAAAATCTTTAAACAACTTCTTCTGAATAACCAAAATGCCCAGGGTGATGATATTTGGCCAGTTGCATGCTTGGGTGAAGGGCTACCAAGTTTGTTCAAATGAATGACCTTGACCAACTTTCAAGGTCAAAGGGGTCAAATGTCTTAAAATCTTTAAACACCTTCTTCTCAATAACCAAAATGCCTAGGGTTATGATATTGGGCCTGTAGCATGCTGGGATGAAGAGTTAATAAGTTTGTTAAAATGTATTATCTTGACCAACTTTCAAGGTCAAAGGGGTCAAATGTCTTAAAATCTTTAAACAACTTCTTCTCAATAACCAAAAGGCCCAGGGTACTGATATTGGACCTGTACCATGCTGGGATGAAGGACTACCAAGTTTATACAAATGAATGACCTTGACCAACTTTCAAGGTCAAAGGGGTCAAATGTCGTAAAATCTTTAAACAACTTCTTCTCAATAACCAAAAGGCCCAGGGTACTGATATTGGGCCTGTAGCATGCTGGGATGAAGGGCTACCAAGTTTGTTAAAATGAATGACCTTGATCCACTCTCAACCTGGTGTCCTTGTACGACATTCAAGGTCAAAGGCGTCATATGTTTAAATCTTTTTCTTATGAATCAAACACTGATATTCTACCTGTAGCTGTATTTTAGTCCACTTTTAAGATTACAAGTGTGAGATTAATACCAGGTGAGCGATGCAGGGCCTCTTGTTTTTACCACATTTTATACCTATGACCTTGGAAGTTGATCAAGGTCATTCTTTTTAATAAACTTAATAGTCCTTCATTCCAGCAGAGACATATAAAGCCAGAGATTGGCAACTCGCGCAGATCTCGCTAACACACGCTTGAGCCTATTGTTCTCGGAGATCCGTCGCGAGACTTGGGTTGCAGTCGCCCTTATAGGCGGTATCAGCTTTCGTTATACCACGGACTTAGATACATTTGTTTAATAATTACAAGTTTTATAAGTATCGTAGACAATTCTTATTTACGAAACACAACAGTTAATTTCATAATATTTTTTAGTGTTATTAAAAAATGATAATTGATATATAAGAATATACCTTAATTTCAGAGTTATGAGAAGTTACCACTGGCAGCCATATAATACCGAGGAAAAAATAGGCAAGGTTTTCGTTTAAACTCCGTTTTTTCTAGATGGTCAATTTTCAATCGGTTCATTGATTTAAATTCTACAATATTTCATTATTTTTCTTCTGTTATATTAGGGATGTGCAGTGCACTACACATCCCTGGATATATCGACTTTATAGAATATTTGAATATTAATTGACATACCTAAAAGTTTTAAGAGAAAAGGACGTTTTCACGATAAAGCCTTATTATAAGAGCATCGAAATGAGCATTTTATTCACTTTACACCTATTTGTTAGTTGTGTAATTTATAGCTTATAATTGGACACTCGTACCTGACCCAAGTAACCCCTGGGGGTGGGGGTAGAGGTCATCACAGGTGTGAAGGTGACTTACCTGGAGGAGATCTTATAATTTACGGGAGCCGAACTAAGGGAGGCAGGTGCGGATAGGGGTAAAAGCCTTATGGGATCGGTACTAGTAATTGTAATTGTAATTGTACTCCTCTGGCTAATTAAAATTCTAGAGAAAGGTTCACGACCTTGCCAAATTCATACCTGAACTCGTCACAGGGTAGCAGTTATAATTTGTATGTACAGTCACTAATTAGTCGCCTTCATATCACGATGTGCGTTCTTTACCCATGGATTTCTTAAATTTATAAACATCTATTTCAGTATTAAGATGGACTTCTAAATTAAGGACAACAGTATAAAATATCGATAATTAAATTATGTTGAAAAAGGCCTTTTCTTTTTCCCTATGGTGTATGTTCACACATTTTATTTATGTTAAACCAGGGACTTAGATAACATCTAATTCCGTGGTTAAACATAATTCTGAGTACGCATATTCTCCCCCAAGGAAACTTTAGAATGTTGGCAAGTATTTAACCTCATGAATAGTTAATTGATTTATCAAAATCTATAGTGTATGCTGGCGTAATGAAATGACAATATACAAAACGTGCGCCATCTGAATTTGGTAGTTACAGTGGCAGTGTCATAGAGTGATAAATACTGTCCTGGGATTTGTTTATGAAGAGACTAAACAAGAAACTTCAAGCAATTAGGATTTTTGAAATAACCGTAACGTATCCTTCTTTCATTTGATAAGAAAGCATTGTACTTTTTCTTGTGTTGTAACTTAAATATTCAGTAAATACACTTTTTATTTTGAAAGAAGCCATCAATCAATCCACGTACATTGTGTAAATTACACAAAGAAAATCGTAATATAGATATAAATTCAGTAAATACCACCGTACGGAATTGTCACAATATAACCATACTAAATGCAGATTGTATTTCTGCCAGCTGTGAATACAATAGCCTTTTTATGACGTCTGTATTATTATAACATATAGTACAAGAGGTCTGATCTCCAATGAAATTTCCTACATGGTACACGACCTACAAAGAAAGCAAACAAATGATTAAAGTTAAAAAGAAATGTAAATCAACTAGAGATTTAATGTTATACTGTACTCTACTCTGTGATATTTATGTTTTGTAATATGCCTATTTTACCTGAATAAATATTATTATTATTAAATTTATTATTACATCTATTTAATGTGAAAGCATGGATAAGAGAAACGGTAAACAAAAATTTTGATGACAGTACGGTATATGTATCCTTAAAACGATTGAATTTCCGGTCCTACTTTCGTTTTTGGTTTTAGTTGTGTTTGAAAATGGCGGCCCCCATACAGAAACTTTTTCAATCTGCGTACAAACTATTTTCTAGGGTGACAGTAGGTTCAAGTGGCTTTAATGAACATCTTCGGGAGGTCACTGCATTGGCTTCTAAATTAACAGCCACAGACTTAAACTTCAATTTCCAAGACGATCCGACAACCCAGCGACGAGTCGAGCAAGGCGAGGAGGCACCTGCAGTATACGTTCACCTATTTGAAGACCGTGTCCTGTCAATGGGAATCTTTGTTGTCCGACAGGGCTGTCGGATTCCGCTCCATAATCACCCCGGCATGCATGGCGTCTGCAAGGTCATACAAGGTACTATACGCGTTAATAGTTTCTCAGAAGTTTCTCGTGTTGGACTCGACATACCCAAAAACATCGAACAGGATATGAAACAATCGATATTTCCAATACTAAAGAAAAAAGAACAATCTCAATTTTCACCCGTGATGACGTATTCAAGCGAGACCCTGACGACAGATGATCCTGCCTGTGTGCTGTTGCCTTCGGATGGGAACATCCACGAAATGATATCGGTGGATGGTCCAGCGGCGTTTGTTGACATATTGGCCCCGCCGTACGATCACACCACCGGTGAGAGGGTGTGTCAGTATTACCGGGACTGTTCAGAGGACACTCCCACCAGTTCCAATAGTCAGGTCCGTTGGTTAAGGAGTATTCCACCTCCCCACAGCTTTTGGTGTGACACTATGGAATATAATGGACCTTCCATGGAGATTCAATGATTCCTATTATATATGTTCCAATGACAGTATAGACATATTTAACCAAGACACACAGCTAGTCAACAGTACTAGAGTAGAACATCCACAGTAAAAAGGATCTATATGGATGTTACTTTGTGACCTGCATCTCGTTTACACAACTGAAAGAAACCTGGACATATTTCTTTTACTGTAAAAGCTAAATGCTGCTATGGACTTGATGATTTTGATATCTTATTGAAAAATTTGAAGTATGGTGTTATAAATTAATAGAGGATAATTTCACTTTAGAAGTGTAAAATTGAAGAATAATATAGAGGATAATTTCAATTTAGAAGTGTTTAATTGAAGAATAATCAGAGAATGTTGACCAAGAAATTAGTTAAAGAGGTTCCACTTCACCAGTACCACAAACTTTAACACTTCGTTTTTTTCTTCGTGAAGAGCTCAGATACTTTAAAAGGGAATATACCTCTTAACGACATGATTACATCATGATTATAAATATTTGGAAACAATTAATTTGATCCATTTACTAAGGTTTACTTTGGATGTTTGAACTGCAGCCTGTGAAATGACAATCAGTTTTGCTGATTCATTTTAAATGTTTTCATGTGGGTGCTCACATATCTTGATTACCTAGTCCATTCGACTCTAATTACAATACAGTTATCTACTGCTGTACATAATGCAATATAGATATGCAGACTTGTGAAAAGATCCATATTGTGTAATACCTCATCTACCTGTGATTGAATTGTTTAACAACCCAGCCTGTCAAAAAAAGGTTCCACTTCACCAGTATCACCAACATTAACACTTCGGGTTTTTTCTTCATGAAGAGCTCAGACTCAATCACCCAAATACTTAGAAAGGGAATATATTCACTGAAGCATCCTTTAAGCTTGCGATTTTGAGAAATTAGTTCTCATACCTGCTAATAATACCAACTGGGCGCCGCTGTATACACATGGGCGCCGCTGTATACACATGGGCGCCGCTGTATACACATGGGCGTCGGTGAAGTTTACGCACAGGCACCACTTTTTGCTTCCTCGATATCGAGGGATTACGCTCTCTGCGCCCCTGGAAAATGTCTTAGCAAAATTGTCTTATCCACCTTGTGGATGAGACAAGAAGACTAGTTTGATCCGTTGGTGTACATCGAAAGAATTTCGAGGTCGCGTAACGGTAAACTTATCTTAAAAAGACACGTATCAACATAGTGATTGGTCAGGTTTTTTTCAACTTGACACCAATCAAATAGCTAGCCGCATGTCTCCAATTTCGCTATAACATACCCCAGAGGTGCAGAGAGCGTAAGTGAGTGTAATCCCTGGAGTATCGAGGATGCACTTTTTGCAGTAAATTACGTACATGACTGTTACGATATCAAATTTGGTGGAGTGTCAAAAATGATCTGATAAGATAAGAAGTCATTTAAAAACAGACACCTAATATTCCACCACAATTGTGTATACAATCAGACATGATAACGTATAACAACATTTTTAAAACGCCACACTAACCCTCAAGTTCGCATAACCTTACCACAACTGGACCTTTGATAAGTTTAGGGTTTTAGGGTTAGTCTGACATCTTTCTTTTCCCAAACTATGCACCTAGCACGATGCGAACTAGGATGTGGCGTCGGTAGTGTTCTCTGGTCGCATTGTGGATATTATATGTGAATGTCATACATAGGGGACTTAATCAAATGTCTTGTTACGTATTCGCATCATAAAAATTAAACCATAGAACGACTTTGGCTCCATAAACCAAAGCGACGAGTCAAAAGAATTATTTGTAGCAATCAAAGAACTTTAGTACAACTTAAAAAGTATACTGTTTTTACCAGCATATCTCAACCCGATTTTTATCACCGGAACTCGTATATGTAACGTCATTCTTGAACTTGTGCCACGTGAGCAATATGAGAAAATATTACTAAATTCTTGAAGTGCTACCAACTTCTGCTCAACAACCTGGGCCTCGTCTTAATTAACAGTACAGTAAACATTTACAGTCGTTTACATGTTGACTAACAGTGCACGTACGTGGCTATCGAAAATAAGACAAAAATGTAAGGACATGGTTTCCCATACCCATGCGTGCTATAGGGCGGAGCATTGTGTCGTGTTTTACCTATTTCTTTAAATGTAAAGGTGCCATGATTAGTTTTTTTAGTTTTCAAAAATTTCACAAGTTCGACACGATCAAAAATCTAACCGACTGCCATGATTTATCGGGGCTATGGCGGAAAACTGCCCATATTTCCCTAAGTCGGCATTTATGAAAACGGAAAAAGTATTCATGACTAAACAATTTCTAACAGTGAAAATGCATAGAATAGATATTAGGTATTGTTAATATGATACTGCAAATATAGCCATATTCACTATATCTATGAAAGTGATGGGGTTTCCCCAGACTTAATAAATACTTTCAGCACTTTATCCGTGGACCAACGTTTGAATACATTTGTTGAATCCGTGATGTATTATGCAAAAACAAATCGTATTCCGGAAAAGTGGTCCTCCTTTGGGAAAGTGCTCAATATAATGAAAAACAGAACTGAGCGAGTTTGAATTCCCATCTTCGTCGATGTCCGATGTAGCCGAATGTGTAACGCAGTTAACTTGTGACCAGACAAAGTGAACGCTGCAAGTTCAAATCCACGTTCAGGTTCTCTTTTTTTGGATAAAATACCTATTGATTTATCTTCTATGGAATCATGTCAACACAGAAGACATAATTTTAAATGATATTTATGAGTTGTTTTCCCCTCCAATTGGCACTAGTAAGTTTATCTATCATTTAAACACAAACAAGTGATGCTGAAATACAAAATCATTGTGATTGTTGCGTCAGAATAACAATAGGCAGAGTAAAAAAAATATGAACTGTTATTATCTCAAATATATTATCGAAAATACGGGAAAATTCATCGTTGAGGACAGCCTCATTTGTTTGAAATGCAGAAAGGCTGCAGCACAAAGTATGGATCGCAAAACACGTGTAAGACATGCTTTTCGATAATTATATATATCGTATTGCCGTTCATAGATGCAGGAAAAACAAAATCAAGAAAGCAAGTAACGGCATGACGCAGGCGGTAGTAATGAAAATTAAATCTTTTTTGTACGATCTTGTGTTACACAAAGCATTTTATTTGTTTTTTTAATTCATAGAAATAATGCGAAAAAGCATTTTGCTGAGTCTTTATAGTGAAACGCATGTAACAATAGCCATGGACTTGATCTTAGAGACAGGACTCCGAAAGAGCTACATGTATAAAAATAACCCAGCACGCGTCATAACAGTACACGATGGCACGATCACAGTTTTGGGGGAATAGGCAGAGCAACCCGCCATAGCTCTTTCACCGATTCTCATGCGTACACAGCGGAAACCGGTTAGTAGGGTTCGTCGGGAATTCACATGTTCATCTCATAAAAGTAGCCTTTATAAATAAGTCGACTCTTCAGAAATACTTTATGCTTATTTGATCATATGTACATGTAGTGTATAAATACTTGCAGTAAATGCCCACTTGGTAACAAGACTCAGATTTTCACTTGCACACAAATTACTGGTCTGGACAACATATATTGGGCATTGTTTCACTCTGCTGTAGTACTAACAGAACCTAAGTGAATTCCAAGGATTCTTTTGGTTACGTGATTTAGACTCAATACTTATGACCTCATTCATTAGGAACAGAAACATTTTGCATGCCCTCAGGGATTTGGAAAATATTGAAGATAGCTTGGAAGTCTTAACTAGTGTCTGTGTAGTCATATTTGCTGTCTTGCAATTGTTTTATTAATTTTGCGGAATTTAAATTTACCATACTTAAATGTAAGTACAGTATCCATGAGTGACTTCTATTTTTTTAATCACAAATAATATGCAATAGACACTGGTCGTTGATGAACATGTATTTTGGCGACATTGTAAAATATGTGTGTTCGATGTTGCTTATTCCAGTATTACCTGGTATGACGTCGTTTCTGGTTATGTATTGTAACACACTGACAGTGGTAATGAATTATGTTTAGTAAAGAATCGTTGTTGTTTAATTCACAGTATATTAAAGTTACCTGTGATGATTTACACATTCTTCTGGGTTTTTTTGTTCTCTACCCGTGTAATGTCATGATTCCTGTTGACAGAATTAAATGTCTTAAGGATCTCCGTACCACTGCCCTAAACTGTAACAAATTATTGTCAACTTAAGGATCCCCGTACCACTGCCCTAAACTGTTAACAAAGTATTGTCTACTTAAGGATCCCCGTACCACTGCCCAAAACTGTTAACAAAGTATTGTCTACTTAAGGATCCATGTACCACTTCCCAAAACTGTTAACAAAGTAAACAAGGTATTGTCTACTTAAGGATCCCCGTACCACTGCCTAAAATTGTTGACAAAGTATTGTCTACTTAAGGTTCCCCGTACCACTGCCAAAAACTGTTACAAA